CTATGCAGGAGCAAGAAGCCACATGGGAAGCAGCATAACTGGGACCGAAACTTGGCTGTCCAGTACAGGGTGTGGGTATCCCACGTGGTATCTTAACTGTGAAACCAAACACCTGGCCCCCAGGGTGAGTGTTTTTTTTTATTGTTAATGTCACTTAAGAGAGGATATTTCAGAATGTTCATAGAAAATACATATGACAAAAACTGTGCAAGGAGTTCAGACATTTTTGCCCCCAAATGAAGTTATCGCCATGAACTTTTTGAAACCCCCTGGCCTGTCACATGTAGTCAGACGGGCACCCACACCACTGTGTTCCAGCTGCTGGGTGGGCACGGGGCTCCCACTCTCCCATAGGTGTACTTGGCACTGTGCCCAGATGTGACAGGCAGTGAATTCCCTTCAGGAAATGGAAGTCTCCATTTCAAGTGGCCAACTTGGCTGCTTTCAGAAGAGTTAAGGCCTATCCACTGACCTGTGTGGCCACACAGCCTTTAAAGTGCACTTTAAAATTTTTTTAATAACAATTTTCTGCACCTCTCTAAGGCATGATTTTAATGGCAGCTGTACAGGGAGCCCAAGTGCAGATATGCCTAACTTGTAGCCAGGCTGCTTTACTTTTGGTTGCCTCCCTGGAGACAGAACAACACATATTTGTTCTTCATGACGCTTTGGAGTGTGTGTGGGGGAGGCAGCCACTGGGTCCCTTCAAGAAAATGTCAGACTCCACACAGGCAGGGTGCTCAGTCATACAATTCTGACACTGTCAGAACAAAAGAATGCAAACTTCCAATGGTAAAAATATTTTATTTAAGTTTATACAAAATAGCCATGTACTAAAATGCACATAATTTTTTTTTTCATTGAGCTGATGGTTTAAAGAAAAGACAGTGGTGATTTCAAATGCTTTCTGCTTACATGTCATGTAAACATTGTGCTAGGCTTAGGTTGTTTACTGAAGCATTAGCCATCCCTGGAGAGGTTTTTTACAGGTGCTTTCAGATGGAGACCTGGATCCGTCAAATAGAATCCTTAAGCCATGCATGTGACCCGGACTGGCTCCAGTCCAGGCAAAGCCAGGCTCTCTGGAGACCTACCGGCAGGACAGCAGCAGGCCGCTGTGGACATGCACTCTCCTCTGACGTGCACATCTGGAAGAGCTGCGATTCTGGCCTCAGCTCGTGACCTCCAGCTTTCACGTATAGCCACAGGCCAGAGCAAGGACAGATGGTCCCGGGGGCACCATGTCCACTGAAAAAGTGGCCAGTGCCCCACTGCAGTGCCCAATGTGTATCTGTCACTCTGCTTGGCGCACCATGTACAGCAGGGCTAAGCGGAATAAGGCAAATTTTAAAATGTTTGGCTGACCTTTTCATACAGTGTGCTATTCTGTGATACACTTTGAGGGTCAAATTGAAAGTAATTGAGTGCAGAATAGGAAAGAACATGCTGGGGTCTGCCCTCCACATGGGTCTTGGAGGAAATGCCCCTTCAACAGTTCACATTCACGGTGGCCCCGTGTGGGTGTGGAAAAGGAATACCAGGGACACTGATCTCAGGCAGCAGCCGCCCCTCCTGCCCTGCGGGAAACCCAGGGCACGGCTTATTGAAGGCAAGGCTGCGCCTGGCTCTTGACCAAGCAGTGAACAGCCCAGGGTGTTCGACTCAGAATATGCCAGCAAAAGGAGACTGTTGCTACTGTTAAGAAAAATGACATCAGATTTTCAACCACCAGCAAGAAGGAAAACCTTTTTAAAATTTGCTTTTCCTTGTCCATGTGGACAGTCGATCCAGTTCTGTTTACTGCAAACTAGGTAAGTCCCAGGTACAGCCAATGTAATTGGCATTGTGGCCATTCTTTGTAATTATTATTATAAATCTCAGTGTTTACCTTATAAGGAACTGCAAGCTCAACCACTTTCACAAATGCTCAACCTTCAGGGCCTCCAAGTCGGGTTGGAGGACCCAGGCACAGCCCAGTGGTGTGCATGTGGGCAAGAGATGTCACACGGGGGAGCAGGCGTGTCCAGCTGTTCTCCAGCCATGCAGGCACTGCATAACAATGAGACAAAGCAAAGATCACAGGAGCTGGCCGCCTCCCCTGACCCCTCCCTGGGTCTGAAGGATAGCCTCTGACCTTGACCCTGGCCATCAATGGGAAGCTCTGTGATGCTCAAGGTGCATTCTCACCAGCTGTCTGAAATGAATTCTGTACTTTGAAATGTGATTTCCTCTTCCCTGGACATCCTCCCTGACTTGGAGATGACTGAGGTTGGGCCTGCTCTCTTCCTCTTCTCCCAGCACAGGACCAACATACATTGTCTTTAAAACTGTCTAGTCAGGCCCTTGTTCCCAAACTTGGAACCTAACACACCTTAGGAAGTAAATCTGAACCCGATGATTCATAGACTATATGCAGTAGTGATATGAATTCCTACAAATGGCCATTCCAATGTTTACCATAGAGACTGACCGCAGTGAAAGCAAGTACAGATGGAAATTGCAAACCTTTGCCAGCTCTGGCTCCTGTGGTCCTATAACGAGGTTCATTCATGCTTCACCTTTACTTAGCATTGTTAGGAAATAACCCTTGGCACTGATCTTGTTGGCATATGCTAACCGATGCACATCCCCAAGAGAGCAGAGGAAAAAATCCCCATCCAGAGAACTGTGTCTGTGTGAAGCCAATTAAGATGCTGCTCCAGAACCTGGGCTGCAGACACGGTTGCTGTGGAAACAGATTTGCCTCTGCGTTTCTGGCAGAGTTGGAGACCAGGGACCAACACGTATGCAAACAGGATCTGGGGCAAACAGGGCTTTCCTCTGCAGTGTCTGGGCTCCAGCCCATCAGCAGTGACAGCGGAAAACACCACATTCTGTGTCTACATTGTTTGATGTATCTGGTGCTGCCTTATTTTAAACTTACAAATCTGAATGGGGTTCATGACTGCATCTTCAGGTAATTTATTTTGGCAGAAAAGAGATTTCAAGACATTTGTAGTTCCTCGTCTATGTGTAGTTTTCCGAACAAATTCAGTAGCATAGTTTTTCAAAATAGTACTCTTAAAAGCAATGTGCTTTCAAAGCTAACTGGGATTGATTCGACTAGAGCTTATTTAAGGAATTACTTTTAAAAGGATAGTCAACATGGATTTATCTTAAAAATATGATTTTTTGGTCATGTAAATGATTTATGTTTAGATTTCAAAAATAGACATCTAAAGTGCATTTTATTTATAATAGAATTCCTTGAAATTATAGCGATCTGTAGTGTAAACAACAGAGCAAAGAATACCAAGCTGTATTTCCATGTCCATTTAAGTTTCAAGGGCTGTGTCCCAGGTTTAAGTGTGTGGACTGACACCGAAGCACTTCCAACATACAGCCCATGCATCTGTCTTTGATTCATCTATTTGAAAGGCAGAAACAGGGAGCACTGGTTCACTCTCCAAACGCCTTTACCAGCTGTAGCTATGCAAATTCAAAGCCAGAATCAGCAGCCTAGCCTCCCAGGGCAGTGGCAAAAACCCGAGGGCTTGGGTCATCTGCCTCCAAGGTGCATTAGCCGAGGTGACTAGAAGCCCGGAGCCGCCAGGACCTGGACCAGGCACGGGACGAGGCCTGTTCACGGACCGCAGTGCTAGGCTGCCTGCACGCTGAAGAGGAAACGCAAGCACACTGTTCCTCTCCCGCCTCGGAGGAGAAACGCCACCTCCCCTCGGCAGCGGGAAAGGGGGCTCTGCATCTAACCTCACCCGTTTCTCAAGATCCGTTTTTAAAATGTGACAGCTGGCTTACGTCCTGTTCTTCCATGACCGCTTCACTGCATGCTTGAGAAAGACAACTCAGAACATAGGGGGCATGCCCGCCGTGCGGCTCGTCTGCCACATGACCTGCTTCATGGGGCACCTCGTCGCCCTGGCCAGGCACGCAGACGCCTGGGCAAGCACACAGGCCAACCTTGCACCTACGAGGCAAACCAAGCAAGCTACAAAGGAACAGCAGCTCACTTGGTGACGTGCAGCACGCTGAGATGAGTGAGTGGGTGTCAATTTCCTGGTCCCTCCAAAATGTCTAACATAGACAGCTTTGAATTCGGTCCTTGAAAGCATTCTTGGCCACACACAGTCCTATTTTTTTTTAACATGATCTTGAAAGTAGTGTGATGTTTGGCCTCAGACTGAGCTCTGGGGGCAACAGCAGTCTGGGACTCTTAGTGCAAGTTTGCTTTTTTGGGGGGAAGATTCTCGGTCCTCAGGAGGCTGAGAACACAGGCTCCGTGTCCCATGATCCTTCACGCTGATGCTGTTCAGGAAGACCTTTTCCATCTGGTAGTGTGGCCCCCAGTGGTCGGCCCTACCCAGTGTTCACTGTCAGCCACTTAGTGCAACAGGTGTAGTGAGCATCCTGCTGATGCCCCAGCTCTCAGCTCTCCTTCCTGATGGTAAAGCCAGCATCAACAGGGCTGCCACAAGCAGCCCGCTGGCCCCTGCGGAAGCTCCAGGTTGAGTCACAGGCCTCTAAGAAAGGCCTGAAGAAAAACCCTCATTGCCCTCTGGGAATGCAGACTTCCCTCCGGCTACCTGAGAGCTGAAGAGAAGGCCGCACACGTGTAAGGACGCAGCTCTGTGCAAGGATCACTAGAAGGACCAAGGCGGCACAAAGGTCTCTGGTGCAGGCGCAGATGCACCTGTGCCTGGGGCCTTGCAGCACACGGGCCTCCCCAGCAGTTCTCCCCAAAGGAGGAAATCCTGAGCTTGTTTCGATCCCAGTGGCCAGAGCCTGGTCTCCGGCTGCCTGGCTCTCCAGCGCAGGCCGCCTACCTCCTGTGTATGCCAGTCTGTGGGATGAGGGGATTCCTCACTGCTCGCACAGGCGGGTCTGGGTGCTGCAGGCTTGGCTTCCCCGTTTCTGAAGGCAGCCCACGTTTGTCGTGTTCATGGAGGCAGGCGACGGAACCGGGAAGCCCTCTCAGCAGCCCAGGGGCAGGAGGGCCACGGAAGGCCGCTTCCCCAGATCCGGTGGCTCCCTGGGCCGGGGCTGGCACTTACATGGACTTGGAATCCGCATCTCTCTTGCTGATGAGCACCTCCAGCAGCCGCAGCTTCGCTTTGATGTGCTTGTACTCGTTGTATTCTTCCGCCATGGGCGTGCGGTCTTCCTTCTGCACGTTTCTAATGAAAACAGAGGCGGGGGGGGGGGGGGGCTGAGGACCAAGTTCTGTCTGAGGGGTTCAGCCACCCAATGGCCCTTGGTGGCAAGCTCAGAGCTGGAATTAGATAAGTAGCAAAAAACAGCTCCCCCAGAAGGGGTCCTGTGACTGAGCTGCATAGTGAATTGGGCACTGTTTAGAATGACAGGCTGGACTACAAACTGCAGACAGGCCCTGGGCTGCTCGGTTCATGCTCAGCCCATTATCACTGTACTTCCCTTTCTGAACCGCTGCAGTTCTAATTAGCAATTGGTGCATCCACAATTTACAGGGCTGACAAAAAACAGTTAACGTCCCTCCTCATTCAAAACCTGAGTTTGCTGTAACTCGCCCACGCACAGGTTTTCATTGTGAGCTCAGGGAGAAGCACTGTGCTAAGTACTTTATAAGCACTGTCCTTGCAACCCTGACAGCAACTTGACGCGGGGCTGCCACTGCCATAAACATACACCTCCCTCCCAAGGCTGCTGCTTCTCCCTGAGCCATGCACATGGCCAGACATCCACACAGCGGGCTTCCTTTGTAAGTGTTTTCCTAAGATTTATATGATAGGCAGAGTTAGAGAGGTGGGGAGAGAGCATGAGAGAGAATCTTCCATGCTCTCGCTCACTTCCCAATGGTTGCAATGGCCAGGGCGGGGCCAGGCCAAAGCCAAGAGCTGGGCACTTCATCTGAGGCTCTCACACGGGTGGCAAGGGCCCAAACACTTGGGCAATTGCTGCCTTTTTCCAGACTATTATCAGGAAACTGCACAGCCAGGATAGAAACTGGCACCCATATGGAATGGCTACATAGTAGGCAGCAGCTTAACCCATTATGCCACAACGCTGACTTCTAACTGTTAAAGAGCAAGTGTGGCAAGGAGATTTGTCAAAGAACTCCAAGTAGGATGATTTCATTCATGCCCCACTTCATTCGCGGAAAGGGTTCTTGATGTCTCAGCTGGGAGTGACAGGGGTGTCCCCCGGGTGAGGACACCTGGCCCCGATGGTGCCCTGCAGAGCTTCACTCTCCTGGCACACAGAATAATAGAGCCAGACAGTATACTATCCTGAGTTCCTCAGATTTCTAAACTTTCTCCAACTTGTGCTTGTTCCATGGCTATATGTAGTCCTTCCTGGATGTCTATCAAGCTAGTAGAAAACAAAAAGATAAACCAAAAATTTCCTAATAAAGACTGGAAGGAAACACATCAAAACAATGCTGCTGTTTTGAAGTGGATTATTTGGAGGGGGGAATTGTTTTATTTGCATATTTATAGTTTCTAAATACTCTGCAATGTTTGGAGAATAAAAAGCAAACAGATACAATAAAGTACTGCTCTTGGGGCTGGTGCAGTGACATAGCCAGTAAGGCTGTTACCTGTAACCCCAGCATCCGATATGGCCACCGGTTCAAGTCCCGGTTGCTCTACTTCTGATCCAGCTCCTTGCTAATGTACCTGGGAAAGCAGTGGGAGATGGTCCACATGATTGGGCCCCTGTGCCCACATGGGAGACTCCTGACTATGGCCTGGCAGATCCACTGAAGCAGTGCATCCGTGAATGGAACATTCTTTTTGTAACTCAGTCAAAATCTTCACTCATAAAAAAATACTGATTTTGAGAAAGATAATATAGGACATATACAAATTAGAGATCCTAAAAATAAATGTATACCTAAAGTGGAATACATCATTTTACATACCAAAGTTGATTTTCACGGTACTTCTATTCCCTCAACTTTGAGGAAGCATAAAAAGGAACTGCAGAAGAAAACCTTTCCAAGTTTAAACAATTTGGATTAAAAATATAAGATGATAACATTAATTCCACTGTCCTAGATTCAAGTTGGGACCAGTGCCTTGGTGCAGCAAGTTAAGCCACTGCTTGAAATGCCAGCATCCTGTACTGGAGTGCTGGTTCAAATCCTGGCTTCTCTGCTTCTGACCCAGCTTCCTGCTAATGATCCTGGGAAGACAGAAGAAGGCAACTCAAGTCCACGAGCCCCTGTCACTTATGTGGGTGACCAGGACTGAATGCCTGCCTCAGTTATGGCATGGCCCAGCACTGGCTGTTGTGGCCATGTGGGGGATGAGTCAGCAGATAGAAGATCTTGCCTTATGTCTCACCCTCTTGATCTGTCACTCTTACTTTCAAAGAAATAAATACATTTAAAAAGATCTAACACTATTCTGGGTTAATATCCTTGAGCTTTCTGAAAATCTGAGTAAGCCATTTTGTGCACAGCCACTTACACACAAAAGGCTATTTTCTCAACATAATGTTATACAGGGAATGACTCAGCTGGGCCTTAAAACTCTCTTGGAGAAAGGCAATCTGTCAGTCAAGCGATCTTACTCATAAATACTTCTATTTATATGTTTCCATTATACCTGGCAGCTATCCTTGTTTTTAAAAGGAGTGTAAAAATCAGTAAGATTTTCCTTTTCTTAGTGTGCCATTCTAATTCTTTCAGAAAAAAAAATGCTGTCAACTGGACCCTGAGCTGCAGGCTGCTCATTTCAGATGCGAATCTAATGTGACAGGTGAGCCTGCACTGGCTTTGGGACCCAGGGTGGGTTCCTTCTTGCAGGTTCCCCCCAACTACATCCTCCTCCAGTCAGCCTCACAGGGTCCCTGGGCAGGAGCCAAGGAGCAGGTGGAAGCACCCCGACCTCGGAGAGAGAAGTGGGGGGCATCCTGGGTGAGGCAGTAGGGAGAGAAGGGACAGAGATGTACTACCTTCCATTCTGTCTGAAGAAATTGTCTTCAAAGTCACGGAGTTTCTTTCGAATCCTTTTCTTCTCTTCTCGCATTTCCTGAAGGTGTTCCAAGAGTTCAGGTCTAAGAGTGAGGGGAAAAAAATGCAAGCAAATGAAATCTGAATGGCCGTAAACAGGGAAGAGTGTGCGCTGCAGGAGCCCAGGGGGCCGCTGAGGGTCTGCCTGAGTGGGCATTTTTCCTGGCTCTCCAGACCCAAACATGGCTGGCTGCGGCTGATGCTCTTGAGTTTCCCGTGAAGGGGAGCGACGCCATCCACGCTTGGTGTGACAAGAAGGGCTGTACAGAGACCTGCCTGGTGCCATATTCAGAGACCTAGTGGCTGTGTAAGCGAGAACTCAGAGTAATGAGCTCGTTAAGCAACAAGTGAAGATGGATGAAAAAAAAAAAAAACCACGAGCTGGCACCTATTCTTGTAAAGCACTGTTCTAACCCAGGGGAAGCCACTGGTGTTTTCTCAATTTCTTTATCTAGCAAGATTAAGGTGATATAGAGCTACTTCAAAAAGTTGTGGGAAAATGTAGTTAAGTTGATTTTGGTGCAAAAAAAGAAAAAGTGGAATTTACATACGCAAGTTGTCTTTGAACAATGCATTATGAAAACTGTGGATTTTGAAATTCTTTTCTGCCAAAATAAACTTAGCGCTTAATCTTTTTTCTGGGAACGTTTTGAAGTGCCTTTGGCTTAAGAACATTGTTTTTAACTGAAGCATTTCTTCACCACCACCTACATTGAAGCAGCATGGAGGTTCGAAAACCCCGTGTCCTGGCTGCCTTTGGATGGCAGTTTCTCATCCATGGGAGAAATAAACCCATCAGCATCATCTTCAAATTGGTCCAGAAAGCAGCGTGCGCTGAAGTCAGTCCGCAGGGTTACGGTGAAGTCTGGCTTCGTGGTGATGTCCTCCTCGGACCCTTCCTCTTCCTCCTGGAGAAACACAGCAGCCCAGGTCAAAGGCTGGCCGTTCTGGGCCTGCTTTCCTTGCACATGAATCCCTTAACATAACCATTCTAGTATATCCAGATCCCAGATAATTTTCCATATGTCTATGTGCAGCAACACACGGCAATTTATTATGGATATATTTTGAGTATCTGCAAGTACAGAATTAAATCACAAACACAGCTGCTCAGTAGGGAAAACAGACTTGAAGTCTCTGGAAAGAGCTGCAAGACTGAGAGCTGTTAGGGCTCCAGGGAGGAGGGAGTAACCAGCTTGATTGAGATTCTGAACCCAAGGAGCCAACAGAAGCTGAGTATGTCTGCCTCTGGGACAGCACAAAGCCAAACCAATACCAGCCCTCAGTGCACCAAAGGATCTACTATTTGTATACCCCAGAATATTTTGATTAGGCTCTGAATATTTTCCAAAATTGAATTATTTAGCTCTTTAATTTCAGAGAATAACAAATTTCATGGTTGCCTAATGTCCAACACTTTTTTGAAAAGTTCAAAACATTTAAATTTCTGTCTCTGGAGTAATAAAACTCAAGCACTTTTAGAGAACTTCCAAGGGCCACCACGGTTGTATTTTTCAGGATCCAAGAGTCTCAGAAAAAATAGGATACGTTGTCTGTCTTCATGGTAATGCAAATAGGAAGATGATGAAATCTTACTAATTTAAGGCTTAGGAAGGCCAAGGAAGAAACAATACAGACCCTGAAAGATTTCAAAAGAAGTAATTTACTGCTGAAATGTAGTCACATCACAGAGAATGTCAGCATCTTAGACAGTTGGGGAGGACTATGGTTTAATTTTTTTTTTTTAATCTGCTAGGCAGAGAGCACAGATCATGCAAAGACACTTATTTGTTGATTAATTCTCCAAACAGCTGGAACAGCTGGGGCTGGGCAAGGCTGAAATCAGGAGTTGGGAACTCATTGTAGGGCTCCCATGGAGGTTGTAGGGGGGAAATTACTTGAACCATGACCTGCTACTTCCCAAGGAAGCAACTCCTGGGGCAATGCCAAAACTTGAACCCAGACACTGACAGGCGATGCAGGCATCCAAAGGAACATCTTCTCCACTGTGCCAAAGGCCTGCCCCAAGTGTACGGGGTGTTACAAACAGCAGCAAGTTTTGACATCAGTTGCTGTGGTTAAACCAAGTGGCTTCGGTGCCCGCTCATTAAGGACACTCAGGAGGCAGGACCAGTCGTCATGAATGTCACGTGGGAACGCACGAGGCATGCGCTGGGTTTTCTTACCATCAGTTTTGGTATATTTATGATACCTCTGAAGATAAGAGATGCCAATAAAGAAAGCAAGGCACAACACTAAAATATAACTAAAAAAGGGTATGTATGAAGGCATGACGTTAAAACATGGGCAAAAACTGGGTGATTTCTCTGGTCATGTCTGGGCCCTCGGAGCTTCAGCCTCTGCTTCCTCCATGGAATACATTTTTAAAATTGATCAAAAGCATTTTAATGGGCTGGTACTGTGGCATGGTGGTTAACACTGCCACCTGCAGGACCAGCATCTCATGTGGGCACTGGTTGTAGTCCCAGCTGCTCAATTTCCAATCCAACTCCCTGTTAATGCACCTGGGAAAATAGCAGAAGATGGATCAAGTCTTTAGGTTCCTGTACGCACATGGGAGACAGAGATGAAGCTCCTGGCTTCACACTGGACCAGGCCTGGTTGCTATGGCCATTTGGAAAGTGAACCAGCAGATGGAAGATTTCTCTGTTTTTACCTCTCCCTCTCTCTCTATAGCCCTTTCAAATAGATAAACTTAAAAAACAAAGGCTTCTTATAATTTACAGACTTTAAAATGGATTTTGCTCTGGTAAGGAAAGCAACAATTCCTATCTCTGTAGCTTTACAAGAGGTCACAGAGACAACTTACAGGTCAAATTGCCAAACCAGGCCCACAGGCAGTACAAGTACACGCTCCTCTCCATCTCCAGAGGATGCAGGCCAGGTGGAACCAATGCCATAAGCATCACTGAGGTAGGGACGTGGGCCTCTTCACTGCCATTGCAGAGTTGGCCAATGGCTGCATTTAGCAGGTGCTCGGTAAATAGCTGTTGCATATTTCAGCACTTTGGTTTGAAAAGGAAACTATCAATGACTACTATGAGCACAACCTTAAAGCTTGAAACAGGTCATAAGTATACTGACTGACAGGAACCTAAATGACTATGAAATCAGGTGTCTAGGCCTTTCCAATCACATCCCAATATCCTGAGAGAACTTAACAATGGGACAATGTGCCTTGCACATGGTGACCACTCAAGTTTTCTGAGATGAACCTAAGATAACTCTGAGTAACCTTTGAGAATCACAGGGAAAAGAGCAAAACAGCTGTTCACATAGGACCATGACATATATAGATTAGGAGTAGATTCTAGAAGGAATTAATATATCACAGGAGCAACTGGAAAAAGAACGATATGTGACTAGCACTGCTCCTTAAAAACAAATGACATCAACCACTTTCCATGTTTTGTTAGGATTGACACACACTATGAATTCCAAAAAATGTGAGGTTAAGTGAGCAGACCCTACCAAGAGAAAACCTCGGAATTTCTACAGAGCGATGATGCAATGGCGTCACGAAGCTGGAGGGAGGTCTAGAACAGCCACCTTACCTGCCTCTGCCTGCGCGTGCACAGTCACCCGCATGAAGGCCAAGAAGGCAGGATTCAGAGAACGTACAGGTCGTGTAAGATGGGCAGGGATAGCTGCTATGTTGGGACACAGAATCTAGCATTAGGCTAGTTCATAAGGCTGAAACAGAAGTATAGAGTAAGAACCTGGGAGAGCTCAAGGTCCTTAAAGTAGGTTAGAGAAAAGAAAAGCTGGACACAGGGACAGTGGGTGATCACAGAGAAGGCGGTGGGGCTGCAGGCACATGTGAGGCCGCCAGCAGGTGATGCTCAGCTGGGCTGACCTGGTCCTCTGAGGCAGCTAGCAAAGTCAGGACACCAGGGGAGAGGGTGGTTGTGGCACACTATTGGCATCTAGTGGGTAAAGTCCAGGGACACAGGGCAGCATCCCAGAATAGTTACCTGGCTCCAAAAGTCACCAGTGCTGAAGCTGAGGTGCCCTGCACAGGGAGAGACAAAAATGGGCTCCTAAAACCTTGCTAGTCTAGCAGGAGACAGACAGCCTCAGACTACTCGCTGGTCCCCTGTCCTGCTTAAACCATATCTACAGTAGTCCAGCACCAGATACCAGTTTTAAAGGAGGGGGACATGGGTGTGTGTGTATGTGTGTGTACACATACGTACTGCAGAGCTGGTAGAATGTTGAAAGATCTGAGCCACACTTCTCCAAACGAGCAGTGAGAAAGGCCTGGAGACAAGGCAGAGGGCCGTGAGCGGAGCAGGGGACTGCAGTATATGCAGGGAAGAAGCAGTGCATGTACACCAAGCTGCCCCAGGGGCAGAACAAGGCTTTGTGCGTAGTTTGTAGTTTGACAACTAAAATCCTGCAGTTTTCAATGACCTTCGCTCACCATGTTTTATATTTGCCAAGCATATACATTTGAGGGTAACAGTTATATTTTAGGTTAGACTCAGAGATAATCATGAGCTTTCCACTGGCACTGATGCTCAGCCCACATCCCGAGGAGGCGTCCCCTCTCACTGCTGAGGGCTTTGCAGCTCGGGAACAAGCTGGCTTCACAGGACAGCATCTCCCTCCTGGCAGGGAATTTTCTGAAGGTTTCAGAGGTGGACAGAAGCAGTCCCTACCTAGAGCTTCAGAACTGGTCCACATGCAGGTGGTTCCCTCTCCAAAGCACTTCAAGCCAGGGATGAGTTTTTTAAAAAGCACTTAGTTACAATCTTTGTAGCTGCAGAGAGCAAATTCTACAAGGATCAGAATCAGCAGGAATTGGTACTGTCCAAAAACAGGCTGATGAACCTGGCCTCTAAGAATAAAATGAACCAAAAGGTAGTGCTATTTACAAAAGCAATTTAATTCTGGCAAAGTTATCTAAAATTCTGATCAGTCTGAGGGTCAGCAGAGGAGACAGACATGGCCAAACTATATTCACCAAAAAAACCCAACGACTAAGGAGTGGGCACAAGGCTCCCTTTCAAAAGAGCATCCATGTGTTTTCGGTTCATTCGCCAAGGTAAGGACTAAGTGCCATATTTCAGTGTGTTTACAAGCACATTTTCATTTAGCACCAGTTCTGGGGCACACTGCTAAGAGAACCATGCTCATTTTCATTCATAACATTGCTCCAACCTCTTCCATGATGGCAGTTTAATTCTTGTGTGAAGTTACCAGCCAGACAGAATCTGTCTTTTTTCATTAGCATCAAGACTTACTGCAAGAAAATCGCTCTAATTTCTAAGACACAGTATATATAGCACATCAGCTCAGATTCCCCAGGGCCACGCGTGTAGCATTTTGAGAAAACCAGCTCTATTTAAAAGCATATGGAGAGCACACACAGTCATTGCCTACTACCTAGAAGCTGGGCATAAGAAGTATGTTAGATACAGGATAAAGAGAGCAGATAGCACTTTACAATGGGAGTGATGCCTTATCTCAAGCAAGAAAATAGAGCACTTGTTATCCGATGTCCCTCCAGGGGAAAGAGGCCCTGGTGCTCTGAAACTGACCTTCCTCACTAAAGGGCTGGCCACTTGGGACTTGGAAGTGTCCCAGAGATATGACAAGTGAAACTGGGACGGCTCATTCTCACTTTCAATTTGCCTCTTTTTGGACTTAAGCAGCTACTTAAAAAACAGTCACTAGTTTTAAAAAATAATACTAAAAAAAGCTGCGTTTGCTTTCTTACCTCCAGAATTCCAGAGAAGGCAGCCCAGTTTCTTCAGTTGCAGAACAAAAATACAAAAGGGCTGAGACCAGTGAAGGCTGTTAGGGCACAGACACAGCGATCTCTGGATGTTGATCGGACCTCCCAAACTAGCAAGCAGCCACTGGTGACGGTCCAGGGACTGCAGGTCACAGCTGTGATTTTGTTGATAATGGACAGACTGCCACGAATCCTGAGGACTCAGGGTGCCAGGCAAAGCCAAGGCAAAGGAACGGCAGGTGCAACTACCTTTCTGCCAGGTGCAGATCTGTCAAAGACCTCCAAGAGTATTCATCTCTAAAAGTTTCATCATAAACTGTTTTATAGATTGCCTTTGTTAATTTTGACATCTCTAGACTTAGATATGAAATTTAAAAAAAAAAAAAGTTGGCCCCATAAGCTAAATGAAGATTTCAGGATACAGGAAATTTAGTCCCTAAACAGGGAAAACAAAAGAGTGCCAAACAAAAAAATAAATAAATAAAATGGAAGAAACAACCATAACCACCACCAACTGCACAACAAGCAGAGCAAAACATGTGATGGCGAGAGAGCACAACATGCACCTGAGACCCCTGGCCTTCTGTCACACAGACAAACCGGGGCTATTCGGAGTCAGTTTTATGGGGTTCAAAGGTGGCTGTAAAGAGCTAGAGATTTTTCCGGAAGCACCCCATGAAGCAGTCACCAAGGGGCCCAATCACAGCCTCTAATGCTGGGCGAGAGGGAAGGACAGAGGCAGATTTAGCACCTGCTGGGCAGCTGCGGTCTTCACCTTTATCTCCTTGAAGAAGGAAGCAGTTTCGCCCTCGATAATTGGCTGCAGCAAAGGGCTTCTCCGCTTGCTGGAGGGGGAACCCTGCGACAGGTGTTAACAAGCAGGTTACATTCGGAAGCCCTTCCTTCCCTCGCCCCTCCGACTTTCCGCCTCAGCTCTGCATCCGGATCCCACCCAGCCCGGCATTCACTCACAATGCTGGGGATGGTGTTGGCCCGGGACAGGATCTGCTTGACCAGCCGGTACCTGTCGTACAAGGGCTTCATCACCTGGCGCTCGCTCTTGGTTACCTGGAAAGCAAGCACAGGAGGCCTCCTGAGAAGCCTGCGGTGACGCCACCAGCTGGCCAAGCATGCGCTGCGCCCTGGTGGTCCCACAACACAGATGATGCAACTTCATCCGCTCAGCGCCACAACACTTGTAATATTATTTATTAAACAAACATCTGGAATGCAGCCACCGTGACACTGCCTGTTCTAAGTCAAAGCTGTGAGCACTCTTGGGGCCCCGCTCCAAACTCCTACAAGTTCAGAGTCTCCAGTGAGTGACAGAGGGGAAGAAAACAGGAATTTCTATTGTACCCCACATTCTGCAATCAATATAGTCACGTGTCTTTCTCGTCTGTGTTTTTTTTTCACTTGGCTGTGATTTTGAAAACAAAGCTCGGGTAAGCAGGAGGCATTGAAGGAGCATGTGCTGAGACAGTGCATGGCTTGATTCATCCTTGTTTCCTAAAATCTGGTCTCAGACAGGGCTGAGCACTGAGTCTCTGGGTAGAGAGGAGGAATCAAGCCCTTGCTCCTGGTATATCTGAGGTCCCTCATTATCTCCTTCCTCTCTCCTCCCCATTACTCCTCCAGTTCCAGCTTTAAACCAGGTCATCTCCTGCCTCCTTGTCTAATTCTCTCTGTGCCCCTTGGCTTGGCAAGTTCCAGGTCAGGAACCCCAACTCGGTGCTGCCTTCTCCAGCATGCCCCGGGCTGGGATCCCTCCCTCCTCTTCTCTATGTCACTTCCACTATCCTGCCCCATGTCTTATCATTTTAATAACACTTCACAGTCTTTGGTAAGCACCTGCTGACATGTCTGTCCTAACTGTTAGCCTGTAGCGCCCTGGGAGAACAAGAGTTTATGTTTTGTATCCCTAGGAACTACTTGTACACCGGACATAATGGAAATGTGCCAGATAGCTTTAAGAATGAATGAATGAATGTTTCCAACAGACATGGGCATGCCTGGTTCCCAGATGTGGCTGCAATTCCTCTGGTTCCTGAAATGGGGAACAAGATGAAGCGTTTGTTTCAAGGCAGCATTTGATTTTGCGTGCTGTTCCCATTCTGCACGTGTTAAGGCCAGAGCAGCAAAGGCAGGGAAGGGCAAACAGTATTAGCTGTGACCACTTTTTGTGGATTATGCCTAAGTGGATGACCTCTTGTTGACTTTGGTATTTGCCTCGCCCCAAGTGGCCCCTAGCAAGTGCACTTGGGATAAATTCTACAAGCTGGAGCAGGATTCTGGTACCATGCAGAACTTTTGGGAGGTGTGCTGTCATTAGAGGTAACACTAACTCCTACATCTGCCTCTCCCATGGCACAATATTCAGTTGTGCCCTTCCTGCTTCAAGTATCCGCCATACTAACGGCAGGTTTAAGATCGGTATCTCACAAGCAAATGACTCCAGAACTGGACTGATGTTCAAAATTATTTTACCAAAACAAAACCAAACAAATCTAAGGAACCTGCAGTGAGTTGCGCCACTGCCTGGAAGGCTGAGAGTGAAGGAGCAAGGCCCGGAGCCCAGGCTGCATGGCCTGTAGCTTGGCCTTCATTTCTTTCCCAGGTAAGAAGGGGATGGAGTGAAGGAAGATCCCAGCACAGGGCATGGAGGTGGCTGGCTCAGAACACCAGGAGGCAGACAAGCACAGCATCTCCCCAACATGAAGCACCCTGCCTCCCAGGCTGCGAGCTGGGACTGTGTGCAGGCCGAGTTGGCCGGACTCCCTCTTGTGAGCAACATACAGAGGTCTGGGTGTGTGTGCAGAGGGATCTGGCAAGCCCACAGCCACGAGCTAACAACAAAAGAAGGCAATCCTTACAACTGTTGCCCATTTAGTCCATTCATCTGAAAAAAAAAAAAAAAGAAAGAAAAGAAAATGGCCTCTCTCACAGTAGACCACCTGGGCACAAAGTCCGCAACCACGCAGGGTGTTGTGTGGCACTGTCCCGTGCATCTCAGCGCGGGGGCACGGCTATGGGTTAGTGTCTGTCAGTTTCTCAGAGTGCAGAATGAAGAGTAAAACACACCAATGAGGGCAACAGCTAACGGTGGCCCAAAGCCTGAGCTAACAGACCCACTTATCCTGACTTAGTGCTCAAACAGAAGCAGGCTGCACAGGGGAGCTCTGTGACAGTGCCAGAGGGAAAGTTGTCATTTATGGGGCAACTCCGATGCCATCCGGCCCTGCTCCCTCAGTGCTAGGCATCCTACACATGCATATACATGGATGCTGAAATGACTGTGCATCTGCAATGAATCTCCATGACAACCATGACAAATATATATTAAGGAAACAAAACACTGAGACTTCGAGATTACTTAAGTAGCCAGCTGGACCTCGCAGAGCCGACCCTCTGTGAGGCTGGGCTTTTTACTGACTGCTGTTTTCTTTGAGAGCTGAGAGTGTAAGCCAGCCAGAGGTTTCATGACTGCTGGGTTGTGCCCCAAATGTCTCAGCAGCCAGGGATGAAAACAGGAGCTGGGAACTCAAGTTCAGGTCTCCCCTGTGAATAGCAGGGACCTAAGGACTTGAACAGGGTGTGCTCTGGCAGCACACTAGGTCAGGAGCAGAGAGAAGGTTGGATTCTAAGGACTGTATTAGGGGGAGAGGGATACCCCATGCAGCATCTCTCTCTTCTAAACTTTGTTCATCCATTTATTTATATCCAAGACAGAATAAGACAGAAAAACAGAGATCCTCATACTACTGGTTCACTTGCCAGATGCTTGCATCAAAATCAGGTCTGTGGGCTGGTACAATGGCTCAACTGGCTAATCCTCAGCCTGTTAGTACTAGCATTCCATATGGATACTAGCTTCTATCCCAACTGCTCCATTTTCCATCTAATTCCCTGCTTATGGCCTGGGAAAGCAGCAGATGGGCCTTGGGACCGTGCATCCACATGGGAAACCCTGAAGAAGTTTCTGGTTTCAGATTGGCTCAGCTCTGGCTGTTGTGACCATCTGAGGGAGTAAACCAGTGGATTGAAGATCTTTCATCTCTCTCTCTGTAAATCTGTCTTTCCAATACAAACAAATAAAAAGAAAGAAAAAAAGAAAGCCAACCAGCCAGCCAGCCAGCCAGGGCTGGGCAAAACTGAATTCAGGAGCCAAGAACTCAATCTGAGTCTACCAAGTGTGAGGCAGGGACCCGAGGACAGGGGCTGTCACCTGCGGCCTCCCAGAGTGTGCATCAGCATGCAGCTGCAGGGGAGAGTAGAGGTGGGCCCTTAGCCCAGGCACACCAGCATGGGCATTGCAAGTAGCTGCCTGACTGCCACACCTACCCCCTACCGCTGGGCTGAGTTCAAATCCAGATGTGCCAATTCCAAGGCACACAGTGGCTGTGTATCATCCATCTTGCAGAGAACCTGCCCAGCCGGGAGGAAGAAATATTACAGCATGCAAGTCACCATACTGGCAGCAACAGGCGGTCTCTACAGGGCAGCTGTAAGTTCTTGGCCAGTCAGGTCCTTTAAGGAGTCTGCTGATGTCTGGACTCAAGCTCCAAGGCCCTGAGGCCCGGAGGAGGCTCCCGGGGCTCTCAGATGCAGCCAGGTGGGGATGCTGTGAACAGGAGATCTGCCCTGCCTCGGCAGCTTCTGACCCCTCTGGTAGAGGCAGCAAAATTTCCTTACACATTTCAGGCCCAGAGCAGTCACTCTGAGCTTCTGTGCCTTTAAGAATCTGAAGGAAAACTTGGCAGCAACATGAGCATCATCCTAGAGAGCCGGTATTTTTCCACTACGGGGACAGACTGGCAGAACCATTCACCAGCAATGCTAGCTGGTGCTGGCACTGTGTGCAACAGCACGGTACGTCACCAGTGGGCACACCAGCATCCCATATGAAGTACTAGTTTTTGAGTCCTGGCTGTGCTGCTTCTGACCCCGGTCCCTGCTTACGTACCTGGGAAGGCAGCAGATGGTGGCCCCTTGGGCCCCTGGGAAACCCAGATGTAGTTATTGGCTCCTGGTTTCAGCCTGTGCCATCCATCTGGGGAGTGAACCAACAGAAGGGTCTCTCGCTCCCTGTAATCCTCTTTCAAATAAGTAAATAAATCTATATATTTGTAAAATTTAGACTGGTTAAATTCAGAACAGGCTTGATCTGGTTTGGTGGGCATTTGAGGAGTGGACCAGCAGATGGAAGACTGATCTGTCTCACTTTCTCTTTCGCTCTATCGCTCCAACTTTCAAGTCAATGAAGATAAACAAACATCAAAGAAAAAAATTTGTTTCACTGAGTCCTTGGCAAATGTTCTGAACAGAGGGAATTAAAAGGAGCCGAGGAGAGGACATCCGACTAGGCTCCTCGCAATAAATCACGCCCATCTCCCCCGCGACTGCCAATCAACGCTCCCTGCACACTTGTGGGAAAATGTGTCCAAAAGCTTCCCGGCCTTATGCAAAACAAGAGTCTCCGTTAGCTCCCTTCCAGTTTCAGTTCTGACGGGCTGCGGAGACCTCTTTCTCCACAAACACCCCTCACAAGCACACTGCTCGGAGAGGGAGCCTGTTAGAACAGCACCGCAGTTGATACTGCTGCAGGGCGTGGCTGAGTGAGCTGGTGCTGCTCCCTCCAGGGCTGAGTGCTCCCAGCCTCTTCATGCTGCCCTTTTGCTTCTGGAAGCGCCACACTAGTGGCTATCATTTAGCTGCAAACCAACTGCCCTTATTCAACAAGTGGCGAGGACAAACGGCATTTGTAAGAATCCAGATGTGGAAGATGCTTTCCAAAGCCCCTTCCCTATTCTGAGACTAGAGGCACTTACGTACCGGCCGCCCGTGGATGCTCTCGTAATGCAGCAGGGCCTTCTGCAGGGCCACTTTCTCGTTGGCAATCTGATCTTTGGTCATATCCTATAGAATCATGGGAAAGAGAAGACAGGAAAATCCTTTGTGAGCATTCCAGTTTCACTGACCTCAGCAAAGCTCCTCCAGGAAGGTCAAGAACAGTGACTCTCAACAAACCCCTCAGCCTCGGCTCTGGCTAAGCTTGCTCAGAAACTGCCCCCTCACTGGAGACACAGCAGCCTCACCATCAGCTCCCCACATCCCTGCCGCTGCAGCAAAGGCAGGCCACTGCCAGAAACTGGACTCGGGGACACACGGGACTCGGTTTAATAGCCCAGGTCCTGCCTGGATTCTCAGCCCTGAAGGGCCGTTTGTAACTGTGAGGAGTGATGAGATCCCCAGCATGTTAGATCTACTGTCACTTTAAATAGCTGCTTCTCTTAGGTTTCCAATTCCTCTAAGTTTCAGTTTCATTTTTGTAAAGCCTTGTACTTTCTCATTACATGCCCAATGCTGTACCTGACAGTCCTATCCACCAATTCCTGCAGCCCTGTACTCCCAATACCCACCCCTATGGTCCCTTTTATTTTCTCTTTCATTCTCTCTCTCCCCGCTCATGCGGGCTTGTGGCCCCGTCTCTCCCTCCTGGGTTCCCTTAGGCCCTCCCTCCCTGCCACTACGTCAGGAGTCCCTTCTTCCTCTCTACCTTCTCCTCTTTCTTCTCTGGGCCTAATAAAAAAAATCTTCTATGTGATTCACTGGTGTCTGGGGTCAATGGAGAAAATTTCTAATAATTCTATCTGAGAGAGCCGCCAAACCCCGCATTAATCCAAATAAGCTCGCTCTGCAAAGTGTATGATAAAGCTTCCTGAACAGGCAAAGCCTAAAGTGACCACAAATAACAATGCTCTGAGGCTGCTCCACATGCTTCTAAACACACAAGTGTGGGCGGTCGGAAGGCACTGCTCTCTCCACGGCACCTGCCACGTGCCACCACACTGACTGCGGGGCTCAGCTCCCGCAGCAGCACTCCACCTTGATGTCCTCCGGCCGGCCGACCTCGGCCCGCTTCTCCTGCAGCTTCCGCTGGATGGAGTCCAAGGTGACTTCCACGCTGGGCTTCACTGCCTTCTCAACCAGCTCCGGCTTCTTCCCATCCTCTCTCTCAAGCTGGGACCCAAAACTCTTAGGGAGTGTGTTGCTGCGCTGCCGCATCCGGGGGGCTAGTGCCTCCTCAGATATCTTCAGTTTCGACTCTGGTTGAGAAGATTCAGGGGTTAGAGCTGAGAACGGACTCCTGATGGGGTCACACTGCTTTTAAATAGTGACAATATCTGCTTAGCTATGTCCTGCCCCCCGTGGAAATCACCTGATACAGGTGGAAATCCCTGAGATAATGTCTTCGTTGGTTATCTGGGATGCTTCCTAGCCTGAATTTCTGAGAAAGTGTTTATCTGTACCTTCTCTGATTCTACATCAGCCTGGGTGTGTTCTCAGAATGCAGCCAATGCTGCAGCAAAGGCATGAAGTGCACTAACATTCTCTACATGGCTGACACACTTTTTGTTCTACAAAAGTTGTACAACCTTACAACTTTTTAAAAAAGATGAATTTACTTATTTTTACTGGAAAGGTAGATGTACAGAGAGAAGAAGATAGGTTTGTCTGCAGGTTAAATCTCCAAGTGGCTGCCATGGCTGGAGCTGATCCAGTCAGGAGCCAGGAGCTTTGTTTGGGTCTCCCAGGTGAGTGCAGGGTCCCAAAGCTTTGGGCCGTCCTCTGCTGCTTTTCTAGGCCACAGCATGGTGCTGGACAGGAAGTGGAGTAGCCTGGACATGAACCGGTGTCCATATGGGATTCTGGCGCTTGCAAGGCAAAGATTTAGCTACTAAGCCATTGCTGAGCCCATGACCCTACATTTTTAAAATAGCAAACTCTCTGAGGGACAGGGGTAGGACCCTTTTCAGAGGTACCTTCCCATCTGTGTGTCTCCTAAGGCCACAGCAAACAGAGCCTAGGGTTAAACACGGTTCAGTTCAACAGAAGCGCTGGCTTAAAATCCTCATGGGTTTGTTGGTGACTCAGGGAAAGGAAGAAGTGCTGGAGAACCTGCAGTGTGGCTAAGTGGTCACACTGTGCCTGAGACTATGGGGAGATCTGGGCAGGCATCCTTCCCTAACCTGGGGTATCTGAGTGGTGGTGTCACCTGGCACAGGAGCAGGGGCAGGGGGGACAGGAAGGTGGTGCTCAGGGGTTGGCCTGAAAGTCACTCACCTTTAAGCTGTTTCCGGAATTTGGCAAGGTCATTTGTCCATTTCAGAACCTCCGGGTTGGCTGCCTTGTCACTGTGGGAGGGCTATGGAAAGCAAGTCCATGGTCAGTGCTTTGAAACTGTAGCAGGGGGAAGAGGAACATTCAAGGACCTCTTACAGGAAGGATCTAAGGATCTCAAATAGGAAGAGGAAGTTCCATCAGAATCAGAAATGCACCATGATCACAGCAAACTCCCCGCGTATAATTCCATCATCATCCTCACATTCACACCCACATCTGATGTTTCCCAAGTATTCTGCAGAGGTCCAAAACTGCATGTGTGGAATCCTGGAGTCCCAGAGCTCCTGGACTAGCCTTGTCACTGTTTGTGGGCTTCATCCCGTAAGGTGAACAAACAACAGTACAAACTAGAGGACTAAGGGACATTCTGTGTCACAACCACCGTGAAAAACACACTTTGGGACAAAAAGGCAGGGACAAGACAGTGAGCAGAATGCACTAAGGATCATCTTGGGCCTGGCAGATGGCTCAGTAGCTAAATCTTTCCCCTTGCAAGCACTGGGATCCCACATAGGAGTGGGTTTATATTCCGGCTGCTCCACTTCCCTTCCAGTTCCCTGCTTGTGACCTGGGAAAGCAGTGGAGGATGGCCCAAAGCCTTGGGATCTTATATCCGCATGGGAGACCTGGAAGAAGCTCCTGGCTCCAGGTTTCGGATTGGCTCAGCTCCAGCTGTGGCAGTCATTTGGGGAGTGTATTAAGGGATGACAATCTTTGTCTCTCTTTTCTCTCCATAAATCTAATCTGTGTTTCTAATAAAAATAAACAAATCTTTTTTTAAAAGATTATCCTAACAGTTTGCCCCTTTGAAGCTCTCCTTGCCATAGAAGCCCTCCCTGAAGCTGGGAGAGGGGACACAAGGACAGCCCTGAGAGGGGCACTTACTCTGTACTTGCGCTCCTCTTCAAAGCGGTCCTCAAACTTCCGGATCTTCTTCTTCAGGCTCTGGATCCTCCTCGTGAGCTGCACCGGCGTCAGGTCCTCCTGCTCATCATCGTAGGAGCCCAGTGAAGAGCTGCGCCGCCTGGGAGGGACAAGGCTCAGTCAGCTTGCCCATGAGCAGACACTGACTGCTGTTACGGGCTTTGGGGACATGGTGGGATGCTGAGTGGCAGGTGGAGGGGTGACAGCCACTCTCGCTTTAAGTAAGAGACTGGATTTGCTTGGTGACTTGGAGCTCTGTATTAAATGTGCCTAACCTTCCCAACAGTGCAATGTCTACCCCGTCAACAGTGGCCTTCACAGGTATTCCTGCACAGGTGCACACTTCAATTTTAGATATGCTATCCATCAGCCGTTCCTATCATGTCTAATGTCATCAGCAATACAGACACACATACCTCATGAAGGAATGGGAGTTCGGGGGAGAAGGAGGCACTTCTGTGTCATCCAGGTATTGCCTGCTCTGCCCGTAGGCATAGAAGCGAGGTGACAGCATGGGATCGCTGTCTTCCTCGAGCAGCTGGCGAATCAGGCGCCCGGCCTGCGGGGAGAGGCGGGCCTCGTCAGGGTCCAAGCTCTCCCGCTGCCAGGAGGAGAAAGTTGGGACAGGTTCTGGAAAACAAGGAGGGAAAGAGGTCAGGGTTATTTTGGAAGGTGCAAAGGTTTTTCAGGTTCCCAAGTGCTGCCCACTACGTGGTTTTGACTGGAGCTGGAAGGTCCGGATAAAGGACATTATGTGCAAGCAAATCACCAAAGAATCCTGCAGCCACTGTTTCTCTGCCATCTCCACTCTCACTGGAGCAGCTGCCCTGGCTGCCGGGAAGCAGAGCTGAAAGTGGCCAAGGGTGCAGGCGTACAGCTTTTGCACCTGACGCAGGAGCCCACACATGTGGGTGGGAGGTGTGACTGAGAAAGTCGGGGGAGGGACATGTGGCTCCTCGGCTGTCCTCCTATTTCCGAGCCAACAGGGAGGGTTCCGGCTGAGGAATCACGTGGCGTTTGCAGCAGCCTGTTCATGGAGGCCCTCACAGCTTCTGCTTGGCTTGCTCTAAGCCGTTTCTGGTGCTTCTGCTTAGTGGGTTGGGATTAGCACATTTAATGCTTTGTCCCTGAAAGCTACAGGAGGTATTTAGCCTAGCAGTTAAGCCTTCAGCTGAACTTTAAATCTAGAATGCTCAAAAATACAGTGAAATCCATTCAGAAATCAGTAAAAAAGCAAAAAAAAAAAACACCTTACAAAGCACCATCCATTAAAATCATTTTAGATAAATTGTGATCAACTTAGGTAATTTGTAAGAAAACACACTTTAGGCTGGTACCCTATATGGGCATTGGTTTGTGTCCTGGCTGTTCCACTTCTGATTCAACTTCCTGCTACTGCATTTGGACAAGTAACAGAGGCTAGCCCAAGTACTTGGGGACCCTGTACCAGCATGGGAGGCCCAGAAGAAGCTCCTGACTCCTGACTTTGGATTGGCTCAGCTGTGGCCATCGTAACTGTTTGGGGAGTGACCCAGTGAATGGAAGATCTCTGAGTGTCACACCATATGTTCTCTCTCAGTAACTCTTCCAAATAATAAATAAATCTCTAAAAGAAAAAATATATAAAAGAAAAAGCCCACAAAATCCTGATTGGTCATTTAGAGATGATAAATGTTATTTCTGTTCCATGTAAGACCTATCTCAATATATTCCATTCCTTGTCAAGAAAATCCTATCAAAAGATTTTAAAGATAAATTTCAGGAGCTGGCAGGTTAAGCTGCTCTTTGTGGCAGCAGTCTCCCATGGGAGTGCAGTTCAAGTCCCAGCTACTCCATTTCTGATCCAGCTTCCTCGTAAAATGCCTGGGAGGCAGCAGATGACGACAAGTACCCGGGTTCTTGTCACCTAGAAGGAAGTCACGGATAGGATTCCTGGTTTTGGCTGGCCCAGCCCTAGCCATCGCAGCCATTTGGGGAGTAAACCAGAAGATGGAAAACAGTCTTTTCCTCTGACGTTCTGCCTTTCAAATAAATAATCTCCCAAAAAGATACATCTCAGATGTATTAGGGTATTTCATTTATAATACTCATAAACAGCTAACATTTCAATGTATTCATGCATTACCATGACTTACAAAAGGCTAGATCTTGGCTAATGATCTTAAATCCCTGAATTTCTAGAAATGAATGGAATATTTTGTGAAAAACGTCTGTGATGATCTTAAATAAGTACTTTTTAAAAGCATCTTTAGCAATTACAATCACAGAACATCTACATCCATGTTCACTTTGTGCATCATGTGGCTGATGATTTCTCAACTCCCAGGGAGGCTTAAATTGGTACCAATACACCTGTCCCCCAACACTCACATGGAACACTTAGCTGAGGACCCAGGGATGCCCTTGACCCTACTTTGAAAAGCTGTATAAATTAATTCTAGTGTGTGCCCATGTGTGAGAACCACTGATCCAACCCACTGGACAAGGAAACTGAAACCTAAAAAAGGGGTGAGCGGTTGTTTCGGGCTGAGCACAGGCAACGAGTGGTTCACTAACAGATGTGACTGCCTGAGGCTGCTGATACCTCACAGGGTAATAGGGAAGACAGGTACGCCAATTTAAAAACAACACAGGGGCTGGCACTGTGGTGCAGTGGGTTACACCACTGCTTGCAATGCTGGTGGCCAAGGCTGCGCCAGCTGAGTTCCAGCTGCTTGGGTTCTGATTCAGCTCCCTGTTAATATGCCTGGGAAAAAGCAGCAGGAGACAGCCCAAGTACTCCAGCCCCTGCTACTCACATGGGGGATCTGGGGAAAGTTGTACCCAGCTCCAGGCCCAGCCCGGGTCATTGTGGCCATTTAGGAGTAAAACAGTAGATGTGGTAAATGTTACTCATTCAAATAAATAAATAAAACTTTTTTAAAAAAGTAACTAGATGTCTGTGAACCTATGGTTTATGGTTCTCAACGTTTAAGGATACCTATAGTATCTGGGAACATGGATGATATAATTATCTGGAAAAACAAAAGCAGCGCTAAGGACAGATTCTTGTGTACTGAGGCTTAAGGGGCAGAGGGAAACATATTGTGTCTAAACTTGGCAGTGAACGGGGCGGGGGCCTTCATCAGGCATCCTGACTTGGTCTGGCCTGCTGGTCGGGCTCAAAAATGACCAATTTGGGGCTGGCAAGGTGGTGTGGCAGGTGAAACTACTGTGTGTGGTATGGGCATCCCATGTGAGTGCTGGTTAGAGCCTGGCTGCTCCACTTCCGATCCAGCTCCCTACTTGTGGCTTAGGAAAGCAGCAGAGGATAGCCTTGGGAGCCTTCACCCATGTAGGAGACCCAGAGGGGGCTCCTGGCTCCTGGGTTGAGTATACCCCAGCCCCAGCTGTGTGGCCACTTTGGGGAGTGAACCAGCGAATGGAAGGTCTCTCTGTTTCTCCCTCTGTAACTTTACCTTTCAAATAAGTAAAAATAAATGATAAAAAAAAAAGGAAACAAACAGTGCAGCATACTAAGCAGACAAAGAGAAAGTGGACTAGAGGTGACATAAGAGGATGAGTGGAAGGTAATCCCTTGAAAACATGAAAAACTGAAGGTCAAGGTATTTCATAAGGCAGCAGCGATGGGGCTGGGAGGGAGGCATGAGTCTGAAATCACCTGGGGCAGCACACGAGGGCACTGGTGCAGGCAACCGCCACATAGAGAGGAGCAAAACCACTGGGGACAGGGCGGAGGCTGCCCTGGGGACCCAGGGCTGCACACAACACAGCCTGCTGTTGACACTGGCATTCCTGGGACTGCTCCACATTAAAGGGGCGGTGTGACAAGGGCTTCCTTAGGGTCTGAGGCTCTTGGGTTCATCGGAATCTAGCAGAATCTCCCTCTAGGAAGGCTAGTATGAACCTCCATTGTCAGCCATAGGAACACAAAATTTTTCAGACATGGCTCTAATAAAAGATTGCCTGTCATCTTGAATTGATTGATTGTAGATTAAGAGATTAAGCAGAGAACTGAATCTTGACTGTTGGATGCTCTGTAGGTAGCACAGCATCAGCCATGCGCATTCCTGTTTGCTAATGCAGCTTTATGAGATAGCTCTGCTTTTTTAAAAAATTACTTTATTTGTTTGAGAGAAAGAGAGAGAACAAGAATGCAAAAGAGAGAGAGAGAAGGGGGCTGGAGATCTTCTATCTGCCAGTTTATTCACCCAAACAGCCAGGCCTGAAGTCAGGAACCCACACCTCAATCTGGATTTCCTGCCTCAGTGACAGGAGTGCTTGAGTCACTGCCTGCTGCCTCCAGGTTGTGCATTAGCAGAAAGCAAATCCGGAAGTGGAGTTGGGACGTGAATCCAAAAACACCTACATGGGATGCAGGGAATCCAAGCAGCATCTTGATCACTGAGTCACAGGGTCAATCCTGTGGTCCATTCTTAACCAACCACTTAGCTGACAAGAAGCTCAAATGTGTCCTTTCCCCTGGTGTCACTCAGGCAAACTCGGAAACACACAGCTGATGAAATGCTAAATTATAGGGGGCGTTTGCTCATAAGGCATATAGGAAGGGTAAGTGAGTGACTTATCTGAAAATGAGGAATGCAAAGCTACGATGAAGTCCAATGCTAACAAAATAAAAAGGAGTATTTTATCAGTAGCCTGCCTACAGAAGAGAAACACTCCTCAAGGCTGTAACATGAAACCTTGACATGATTTCTCTTTTTCTTCTCTCTTTCCTGTTAACTCTACAGTCTTGAACTTTAAGACTCCTTTTCAGGAGTTAGAAAATGCTATGCAATAATAGCTCAACATAATCAACAAACCAACCATTTCTGTGTTTTAGTTTGCAATGAATTAAATCTATAAAGCTCTCTCAAATTTTGACAGTTTGTACCCATCTAAAAAAGGTAAATGAGACTAAGAGCAGTGGAGTGCACAATACGCCAACTTCATGTCCTTCCCAGAGAACTAATTTTGAAGATGTGTTCATGGACAGTTCCCAGTTGCTAATTTGGGAAATAGTTTATATTTTAAATGGTAATTTTAGAGCCTTGAAATAGATAAGGAGTTTTGAAGAAAATTATTCAAGGGAAAGCAGAAAAGACTCAAGACTTCAAATTAGATTTTCATTCCAGTAATTAAAGTAAATGAATCAAAAGTGAATGCATTTTCAGAATTTCTGGGGCACAGTGACTTTGCTTTGGGTCATGAAACTTGTTACAATGAACTCTGGACAGCAGTATAGCATGTCTCTCTATTAAAAATTAATCCACTCAAGTCAGCTGATAGCACAGTGGCTCAAAAATAGTAGGGATAAAAGAGTAAGGTTGCTTGCTACTCAAGAAATAAAACATAATCAGTCCTGAGGGATGGAAATAAACAGAATTCACTGAAGGAGGAGGGAAGCTCTCTTGGAGCAATGCCAGTGTGGCTGGTGCCAATGGAGCTATCTTGTGTTTAGCTGGCTGGACCCATCCGCTGTGTAAGAAAAACAACAACCCCTGAAGAGATTTGCTGTAAGAAATTTGCATAGAATAACAGAGCTCATGTTTTTCCATATTCATTTTTCCACCATGTCATTTACAGCCATTACTGCTTGGCGTGTTGTAACCATTTTTCCTTTCATTGCGCTCGGAGGGTTCTGTGTGTCCTGGACACAGAAGCCCAGAGAAACAAAGCAAGAACACTTCTAGCACATTTTCCTTAGTGTCCCCAAACTGAATTTTAGTAGTCCTATTAAATTGCTTAAGTAGTCTGGAAAACTGAGTTAGAATTTAGGAGTCAAGTTGTATCAATTACAAATTCAGTCCTTACAGTTCATGTATCTGGAGTGCCCACGTGCAGTTAATAAGCAAGTCCTCAACAGTTCCATTTAAGTTCTCATTAAATGCATGGCCAAAGCTAGCATGAATCTCTCTACCTACTGAGGTCGTTCCCCACTAGAGTTGGTTTTGATCCACATACCTGCACTTTCAGTGTAACTACCCCATCAGCTATCAGTTTAGAACCCATCTACGATCCCTTCCACATACATTCCTCACAAGTCTATCACCAAGGCATCTGGCCTCTTTCCTAACATCCTGTCTCTCTCATTCCACATCTAGGGACAGCGTCAGGGAAAGGAAGGTGGTCAGTTCCTGATAAATCCACGAATAATCCCAATAAACCTGGAAATTATGGATTCTTCTTCTGTGCTTTGAGTCATTCACAGTCATCAGATAGAGTCAGGCCCTGATTTCAAAGACAGCAAACTTTTCCTGAAACTATAACTTGAAAACATACGTGGAAGACATGACTAATGCTTACATGGGGCTCACACCATGCTGCACTTTACATGTTCCAATTCATTTGATTCTTGTAGCAAGTGTGTAAGTAGATACTACTATATCTATCCTGCATCACTACCCACTGTTATTATCTCTATTTAAATACAGAAAAAAAATGAAGGCCAATCTTGAGACAGGTTCACTAAAATTATGCACAAAATTAGTTAAGCACCGTGAGCTAGGATCTGAACCCAAGGAGTCTGGCTTTTAACCGCTTAGATTTACTGCCTGTCATGATGCACAGCTGGGACTGTGTAGAAAGAATGGTCAGGATATATATATATATATTTTACTTTGAATCACTGCTTTGTCTCTTATGTCCTATACTTTCTTATCCACACAATGGGAGGCTTCACGTGGAAAACATGTATGAACCTTTTTGTTTCTTTTGGAGAATTACCTCCACAGTTACTTTTCAATAAGCAGTAAGTGATGAGTATGATGCAAGAAGTATTTTATGCCCTTTTTTAGAGTTGCCCTTTAATTTGATCAGGATAAATAACTTAAACTCCAGTTCTGGCACAAATGCCACCCCAAGTCAACATGAACTGGCCGCCTGGGAACATTCTAATTACATAATTCCAAAGGACTTTAAATAGCACCACATACTACATATGACTTTAACTTTGGATAGTGAAACCCTAATAATAATGATAATGTCATGCAGATATTTTAAGTACTAAGCCCTAAGAAACAGCTCCATACGGGAGAAAATATGACAGTGCCTAACCAGTATCTGCCATCTTTAGACCCTGACCCTGTATTTGTTTTGAGGGTCTCATCCCCGCAGTCTATTGACTCTATTCCTGACCTTCATTCCCTTTTTGCTGCCTTAAAGTCGTGAAGTCACAGAACTTTTCCACAGGGGAGCACTGATGGCAGCTCTCACACCAGCCAGTTGGCCACTCCCAGACAGCCCGAGATCCCCGGAGTCTGAACTGTGCGGTGAGGATGGGGAATGCACAGACCAAACAAACGGAGCGGCTCACACCACAGGATGCCCCACGTTCTGGTGACGCAGACCTGTGCATGGCTGGTGGCTCACATGGTTTGGGCACTCTGACTTCCATCTACGTTTTATTACAGTGGACTCACACTGGCTGCTTCAGTGAACTGCAAAGCTACCAATTTTTGCCTGTTTCATATTGTAGCTATACATAAAACAAAAGTGGTGTTTTAGCAACTGTGTTTCATTCTCTTATCTAGATTTTGTGCAGACATTCCTTCAATGACTCTACTTCTTGTTTTATCATTGGTCATAGTGTAGAAGGTGTAAATAATATCTAAACTTTTTCATAAGGTCACTAAAGCACTGAGTGGATAATCAAGGTGCCGTTGAAATGAACTTGTGTGGATCTGGAAACACACAAGTTCAACAACAAACACAGTAATTGGCAAAAGCGAGCAAACAAACAAACAAAAACATAACCAGAGCAAGCTACTTTACAGATTACATGGATAATACAATTCACATTTCTTAGCCTAGTGGAATGTTATGTATATTTTTTTCAGTAATCTTTTCTATTAAGCTATCCAGATTCCAAAACAAAATGTTATTTCCCTCATAGTACCTATTGGGATGAAAGTTCATTATATTAACTAATGGCAGAGTTTCAAGGGTTTTGTAAAGTGGCCTTCAACCATTCTAAGAAGAATTTATATTAGTCTCTTTAGATGAGCTGGATTAAACATGAAAAAAACATAATTTGAGTGCATTTCAGGAGAAGAAAATGTGACTAATCGGAATTCTGACAAAAAGTCCAAGTTTTCGTCTAGAGCTCATGGCAGCATCACTAAACCATTTTTACCTCAAAGAAATGTATCGATTTAAAGTCAGTTACAGAAGAGGAAGGAGAGAGACCTTCCATTAGCTAGTTAACTCCCCAAATGACAACAGCCAGGGTTGGCTAGGGTTGAGCCAGGTCAGAGCCAGGAGCCAGGAGCTATATGCAGGTGTCCCTGTGTGGGTGGCAGGGGTTCAAGTAAGTGGGCCAGCCTCAGGCGCTTTTCCCAGGCCACTAGCACGGAACTGGGTAAGAAGCAGAGTGCCATGCGTAGGGTGGCTTTGCATGCTCTACCGACACCGGACCCCCTGTTCCTTGGGGGTAACAGTGACCATTCAGACACTCTGGGGGCACCAATGTATTAAAAACTACCATGTGGACTTCTTTTAAAGTCCACAAGGACCCAACAAGCACAGAACACCTGGGAAGATAACACCTCAAAACACAACAACTGTGCTTTTTTGTTTTTCTTTCCTTTCTTTCACAGTGAGCTGGGAAGAGCTGACCAACCCTCAGACCCACTGCCCATGAAAAGCATCAGGCCAGGTGAGGGGGCGAAGGGGGAGAACTAAGGCATGAAGCTCCAGGGGGCAGAGCATGATGGAATTCTCCCCCTAACCTTGTGTTTCTTCCAGATCAGTTGCTGGTCCTCTCTTTAAGTTGAACCCAAGGAGTGCTTTTTAATTTAAACAAAAAATCAGAGAGGCAGATGTAAGGAAGGGGAGGGGAAAGATGAGGCAATGCAGGTGCTGAACTGGGTTGCTGGTTCTTGAAACAGCTGGTGCTCCTTGTGGGGAGTCCTGTCTGGAAGCTGGGCCCTGTGTCTCTGTTACAGACTTCCCACGCGGGCTACACAGGGGAAGGACTAGGGACGGCACAACCCTGATTTGGGACTCAGATTCACGCCTGGTTGAACACAGACGCAAGGACAGAAGCAGCGGCTGCAATGTCCTCTCCTGAATCATAGTGGCGACCAGGCTACCCTCTTCTTCCTCACCAAGAGACTTGCGAAAAACATTCTCTAAAATACGGAGTCCCAGGCTTTTGGACAAAGCACTTTCATTTTAGTGTTTTCCTGGATGAGCAAATCCCTTTCAGTTTGTTAGCCTGAATTCTAGAAAACAGATGTATCCATGCGAAACAAGACATACAGGCAAAGCAAACCCAATCCCATTTTTTTTTTTTAAAAAAAAAGGGGGCAGCGGACTTCCTGGGGAGGGTGGGTGCCTGGCTGGCAAGTGGGCGTGAGGAGATCAGGTGCAGGCAATTCTTAATTGTTCCCATTCTCAGCTTGCTACTGGGGTGGGGGATGGGGATGGTGGTGGAGGGCGGGGATACACTAATTAGTGCTCCTGGCTAAGTTGAAAAGAAAAATAAAAAAGGACTACAAGGTGACACCAGAATAAAGGGCAAGTAGCCCCCTTGAAGTCATTCAATGTGACACATTCCTATGATGAGGAAAGGATGTTTGGTCATTTAGACTCGCAGTTATTTCTGCAGGCATAGCTCGCTGGCTCACTCGCTCCCTCTCATTCACACCCACGGGGGTACAGACGCCTGCTCCGGGTTCTTCACCTAGGCGTGACATGCTTCTCTCTCGTGCTTCTCTATATGCATGTTAAGAAATCCACCCCCCACCCCGCCCAACGTCATCCCAGCTGCCCCTACCTTCCCAGCTCTTGTCATCACACAATGCAGTCAGGTCCAGCTGGGGCACCTCCGAGACAAAGCTCTCCTGCTGGTCATCGGCAGGGTCCTGATTCCTCTGCTGTTTGGCAGGCTCCGGGATCTTCATGGTGGGGTTAGTCTGTAAGCACAGCACACGGTCCTGAACAGCTCCTGCTCACCGGAACCCACCAACGCTGCTGACAGAAATCCACCAGGATGCAACCTGCCCAGCCACGGCTGCCAACGCACCCGGCACCGAAACCACAGTCATGCCTCCACACCCCTGGAGGAGCCTAGCGGGCCACGTGCTTGCAGAAAGCGACTGTTCCTCTGTGTTCCTTCAACTTTTCTTCTGTAAGCGAGACCAGCTGACTTCCCAGGGATGCCCCTTTGGATAACTGCAGGCAGCTGGCACTGGCTGAGCTTGACTGGTGTCCGCCAGGAGGCAAAGGAGTTTGTTTCCTTAAAGGAGCACAGCTCTCCAGACTGTAAACAACACCAGCCCAACCCAGCCACTGCTGTTGCTAGGGCGGCAGCAGCAAAGCAGTATCTCTGGCACCAGGATACCCTGCCCCTTAGGTAAGCAGTCCAGCAAGGTCAGGAGCATGGAGCTGCACTGTGTAGCTCCCTTGCCAGTCCTGCAGGCTCACGTCAATTAAGCGGGGCTGGCTGCTTGCTCGTAGATTTCCTGGGGCTGGGTATGGGAAGGGCCGTCTATTTATGGATGAGTGCTCTGGGTAGGAAAGTGTTGCGCAAATTCACACGGTGTCAGGGTTTGGCATAGCATCCTGGCTGGCAGCAAGGAATACAGACTCAGGAAAGGAGCCAAAACAACACCACAGCACCTTTTTTTTTAAAGTAAAAAGCCAAGAGCTGGCAAGTCATTGATGCATAATTTATATCTTCCAAATGTGCACTGTCACTTATTGCCTGCCATTTGTCTGCTCTGCATATTAAGTCCTCAGCTACCCTTGACATTGCTCGGAGGTGGCATCCACCCCAGGCTATGACAGGTGAAGAACAGGAAAAACCTCCCCAAAAGGCTGATCGGCATGCTCAGTAAGTGTATGTGCTAAGAAATCACATGCAAATTTATTCTGTTACAATGACATTCCTTTTTTAAAATCTTGCTCTTTTGGCACATGGTAAACCCATTCCTTGTAGCCTTCCTCTTATGAAATTATAGACAAATGTGATTACTCACACATCTATTTCTCAAGCAGCACCAAACTGTACCAGATATTTCCTCTGAGAGTGACTGAACATTTATTTTAGCAAGTAACTTGTAGGCTATCACTAAATAAAAAAAATCTGGAAATTGGAAGGGATTTCATTAATGAAGGAGAAATGTTCTCAGGCTTAAAATAAAGCACTATTTAAGACTCGCAGTTACTTTTCATAGCTATGTAACTTGCTTTGCAATCACCCGGGGGAAGACACAGGGGTTTTACAAGTCTTTTTCCATGAAGCGATGCATAAAGACTGTTGCTCTATGCCCCTTGGCATCACACAAGATGCTCTCAGCCAGGCCATGATGAGCCACTGAATCTGCGGGAAACACCAAGGAAACAGGGCTCTCTAACCTAGCTAAAAATGCTTCTTGTTGAGAAAGCAGAAGATGCTTTTAAAAAAGAGTGAATAATTTGGAAGAGCTAGAGAGAGAGAGAGAGAGAGAGAGAGATAGAGATAGAGAGAGAGAGTGTGAGTCTGTCTTCCATCTGTTGCTTCACCCTCCAAGTGGCCAAAACAGCCAGGGCTGAGCCAGGCCAAAGCCTGGGGCCAGGAGCTACAATGGGGTCTCGCACAGTTAGAAGGAGTGGGAATGGCACCTAGGTACTTGGACCAGCATCTGCTGCTTTTTCTAGATCACTGCTTCTATGAAACCGGGCAGGAAGTGGAGCAGTTGGGACTCAAACCTGCACCCATATGGGATTCTGGTATCAGAGGCTGCGGCTTTGTTACATCACAGGCAGTGTGCTCAGATTATGCTATTCTGTCAAGATATTATTTATCTTTTGAACTGAATCTTAAGTGGCATGGGACAGAATACTCAGATGCAGTGCTCAGCTTCATAGAAAAGCTAGAGTCAAATTCGTGTGTGGGAGGCTCTGCATGAGATCTGCAGGAAGGTGGGAAAGGTCTCCGGGATGGTGCCCTGAGTGCCGAGACCTACCAGTAGATGCCTTGCTCCTTCTGCTCCCACCCAACTGTCTATAAGGATAACTGGGTGTGGCGCTGCCATGTCCTAGACTTGCTAGAGGGAGGAGTTGGCAACGAGGCACGCATGACTTTACTCTGGGTGAGCTGTGCCCACCACGGAGCAGGGGACATGGTTTCAAACATGTTGGGACAAACCCAGCCAGAGTGGGGTGGGGTGCTGCCTGGTGAATGGTCAGAGAAGTGGTTCAGGGTGGAATCCCTTAGATAGTCAGGAGACATGGCAGATGACTGTCAGCAAGGCAGATGCTGTGCTGCACAAGCCTCATGTGCCGGACAAGGCAGGCTCCGAGTGCTCCTGTAGAACAGTATCGTATGATAGGGCTGTGGCTACTCACTGCATGTCAGGTGCGAGAGACACAGAGACAAAACAGATGCAGGACAGCAATTACTATGAAGTGGCCAGTATGAACCAGACATTTTTAAAAATAGGCACTGGAGAAGCTGGTAGACAAAATAAATGATCTGTTCTAATGCATCTTAAAGGAAAGAAGCACATGGCAAAGAGAAAAAGGTTAGGGTTATGGAGGAAAGCAAAGTGAGGCCAGGAGGAGAGTGGTGTTAGGAGTCGAGGTCTCTCACTTTATACCAAGTGGCCAGGGTAGGCTTCTCTGGTTCAATAACACAATGAGCTGACGTGTGTGTGTGTGGGGGGGTGACAAAGTGAGCCACGTATGGGAAGAACATCCCAGGAAGGAGGCAAAGCAGGAGCAAGGGTCCTGGGGCATGCTTATTTTGTAATGTTTTAGAAAAACCAAAGAGGTCCTGGTCCCTAGCAAGCACAGGACCACCCTAAATGACTGTTTGGGGTGTATTGCAGATGGTGTGGTAGCCTTTACATGCCAGCCCTGTGTTCACTTAGAGGAGTTGCTGGACTCCTCGACACAGTAATACCGAGATTCCTCCCCCATGCACTCTATACCAGCCCACACTGCCACAAACACACGTGGGACAACACACACGGCCCAGCTCCGGGAAATACACCTGCATCCCAAGCTCTCCTTGGTGCCTGGGGTTGCTCACTCTGACTTGCCTGCTACTCCTAGAAGCCTGACTTTCTGTTGTGGGCTTTGCTAGCTGCTGTGTGAACTTGACTAGGCTGTCTTGCCTGGGGCTGCAAAGTGGGTTGATGATGGTCTGATGGACATAGGGGAGCCAGGAATATCGCTCAGAGGTTGCTCATGGTGAAGCTGTTCACAGGAAATGCACATTACCAAAAAAGATATGTTACACATTTTAAAAGTAGGCACTGAAGCAAACATATGCTCTAATTCCACTTTCTATGAACGTTTTTTTCAAAAAGATATTTACTTATTTGAAAGGTAGAATTGGAGAAAGGAGAGACACAAAAATGTCTTGCATCTGCTGGCTCACTCTCCAAATGGCTGCAACTGCTGGAGCCGAACCAGGTGCTTCATCTGGGTCTCCTATGTTGGTGACAGGGACCCCAGCACCTGGGCCATCTTCCACTATTTTCCCATGTGCATTAGCAGGAGCTGGATTGGAATGAAAGCAGTTAGAATACCCATACGGGATGTTGATGACACAGGCAGTGGCTTAATCCACCATACCACAATGCTGGGCCTTTAAAAAAAATACTCATATTAGCATTAAAACTGCTCTCAAGTGTGTGTATACAGTGGTGATGTCATCAGTTGAGATGTCCACATCCCATATATGAATGCCCAAGTTTCTAGAACTTGCTAACTGGCCAATTCAGCTGATGCACACCATGAGAGGCAGCAGATGATGCCTTAAATACATGGGTCCCTGACATTCTTATAGGGTACCTGGACTGAATGTCCAGTTTCTGGTCCCATCCTGGCCCAGCCTGAAGCTGTTGTGGTCATCAGGGGAGTGAACCACCAGACAGAAATTTTCTTCTTTCTCTCAAGGAAAGGACACCCACACAGGAGACCTGCTCTCAGGAGCCACTGTGGCATCTGGGGAGTGAGCTGGCAGATGGGGGCGCTGGTTTGCATTTGCTTGCATTCTCTCTCTCTCTCTCTCTCTCCCTTTCTAATAAGAAAAAAATTTCAAAGGAAGGAAGGAAGGGAGAAAAACAAAAATCCCTCTAAGTAAAATCTAGTTCTTCCTTCAAAAGTTAGCTTAAGATAGCTTGGTCGGAGGCACCCAGCCCAGTGGTGTTTACCATACACTACTGCAAATATCGTCTTTTTGCTTATCTCTTTCTCCCACTACATTACTGAGGTGGAAATGTCAAGGGCATTTTAAAAATACCAAAATATTTTTGGTTTTGATTCGTGTTGCTTTCATCTCCCATATCTTCCATTAAATCAGAGTAAATCAATCGCTTTCACAATTTTCCGCTTAGAGGGCCCTGGGCTGTCATGTCACACACCCTGTTTGAAATGTGATGCCATTGGAAAGCACACCAAATATGTGTGGGCAGCCATGATCTGTGTGCTGGGCTCTTGAGGGCAATAGGGCATGGCTTGGAAGGGCTTTGTGCACAGATTCCAATGCCATCTCTACAGAGACAAGAGTTCTGTGAGCAAATGTCTTCGAACTTCAGAAAACTTCTAGAGAAGCAGTAAAGAAAACTTTTTTTTCTACATTACACAATAAGACATTATAAAGTTGTAGTGAGGATTAAACGGAAAACACATATGAAGCAGACAGCCCAAAGTAAGTGTGAGAGATGATATTTGTTTTTATTCTACTACCCTTTCCCATTCGTTCATTCAGGAAGTGTCCTTGAATGAACATATACCCTGTCGCAGGCACTGAAATTCAGCCATGTATATATTCTGGTTCAGGTGCAGAAGAGTGGCAACGAACTCACAAGTGCCACTGTCATGTAAACATTAAATGGCACAGAGGAGACTATGGAGCATCTAAGAGAGAGTGCTTGTCCGATGTTGGCCAAGACTCATCCCTGTCTGATCAGCCTGTCTTTTCTTCCCCTTAGCCTTTGCTGAGCCTGGTGAGTTTTTGTTTAAGCCCAACTAACAGTTTGCCCTGGCCAGGATGGACAGTGTCACAGTGTGCTGTCTGCTGTAGTTTGTGTAAGGCAGAAATTCCACTGCGTGGAGCCATTCACATTGACAGGCCAGACCATAAAGGGAATCGGACAAAACAAGCATCTAAAATTCATGTCAACTGCAGCAGCCTTTTGTGCCTGCTCAGGGATGTTTCAGAAAGGCACCTCCTCAGGGCAAGGAGAAGTTTACATTTGAAATCTGGTGATAAATAATTTTAATTTTTCATCAAAGTCTTGATGTCTCTCATTTTTTTCTTTTTTCCTTTCTGGAAGCAGGATAAAAAAAAAAAGAAAGTTGTCGTTTGTTTGCTATGAATGTCCTGTTTGTTATCAAAGGTATGTATCTAAGCTCTCTTAGGCAATAGGCTTAGAAAGCATCAAGCATATAAAAATTATCCTAAAAGAATTTAACACTTCACCGACCTGATAATTCTGACAGAAACTGATCTCTCACAAATGAGGCAAAACCCTCCCAATGTATTTAATAATTCTGTTTTAGTTTGCTTCCTGGACAAAATATTTCATTGTAAGGTTATCATTTTTACATCCTGAAATTTTCAGGACGCATAAAATAGTGTTACTTGGAAGGAAATAAACTGAGGCATACCAGGGCTCAATTCCATGGTAAAGAGAATTCTGGAGAAAAAGAAGTATTTTTGGTAGCATGTTGTACCATCTAGAGACAGCGTGTTCTTCAGCTTGCCCTCTCCTCCGGTACTTGGCAGTGGTTAAAAGGAGTTCAAAAGCAAAACGAAGAACAAAGGCTCTGGACTCTGCATGGCCCTGGTCTTCCTTATTTATCTCACTTCATATGGCCCAGCGGGATGTTTTCTTCCAAGGTCAGCTTCCCAAGCCTACCTGAAAAAAAAACTCCACTTTCATTTGTGGCCTTTGGAAGCAACTCAACTTTTTCCTCACTGCTACTGGGTTGCTAACCAGATCTTAATTCAAATAGATGGAAGACACATGGCATGGAAATGGGTGACTCACGGGTCCATGCCTGTCAAAACACAGGCCCTCTTTAGATAGGACTAGTTGTGTCACTGAAAGAAATGAGAAAGATATGCAACAGGGGGAAGCTCATGTTCACTTCTATGACATGCCCTCAAACAAGGCACACTGGGGCCAGCACCGTGCAGGTTAAGCTGCGACCTGCAATGCCTGCATAAGGGCACTGGTTTGTGCCTGGCAGCTCCATGCTAAGGGCCTCAGAAAAGCAGTGGAAGTTGGCCCTAAGATCAGCTGTCACCCATGTGGTACTTTTGGCTCCTGGGTGGTGGCCATTTGCAGGGATGAATCAGTGGATGAAAGATCTCTCTCTCTCTCTCTCTCCCGCCCCCCCTCCCTCTCTCTCTCTCACAGCTCTTTTGGAATAAATAAATAAATAAAACTTGTAACAATAATAACAAACAAGGCACATTTACACATGGAAATTACTTATTACCCTATTCATTGTGTAATATAATGAAACAAGAGGAGAAATTTTAAAAGTAGAAAATAGACCTTTTAGTAATTGTTGAGTCACAGAGCATTCTTCCCCAGTGTGAGATAAACACACTTCCAGAAACAGTCCTGGGGGGTAAGGTCCTATTTTCCTCCTTTCGAGCAGCTGTGAGAGCAAGGCAATATGTTCACTTACTCTAGATGTTAATTCACCACCTAATTTTGTCTTCCAACTGAAATTGCCATGATGACAGTGATTATTAATAGTGAATGCTTACAAAGCACCCAGGGTGGGTTGGGCGCTGAGTGGCAGCTGCACCTGGGTGGCAAATATAAGCCTGGGACCTGGCACATGGAGAAAACATCCGAGATTTTTTCCCTATGATTCAGCCATTGCTGGGTTTGGCATGAATGCGGTTTGGATGCCACTAGAAGCTGATGAGTTCATGTCCTGAAGTTCATCAGTGAAGGCTGCTCTGCTTCTTTGACCTCAGAAAAGGTACAAGGCATAAAAGGGACAAGATGAGATGACTACTGCTGGAAGCTGACCAAGACCATGTCCCTACTGTGGAACGGCATGAGTGATGAGTGGTAAGCACTTGTTTGAAGACACGGGGAGAGCAGGGAACAAACCTGAAAAGATAGGCTACTGTGGTGGGAATCCACTTTTCCAAAGGTGCCTGCAACAAAGGAGTTGGTCCCAAGACAGGAGGCGCTCGGGGTTTGGAAAGTAGCGATGAAAGCAGTGGCTCAGAATTTTCAAAGTCAGAAAGGAAGCTGCACTCCCTTCCTACAAACTGGATTAATGAAGATGTATCTGAGACACGTGTTGAATTGAGATGCTATAAGGTATCTCAAGTATTAGTGCATGCGGGCTGCTTGGCGAATGTCCCAGCAATTTCACGCAAAATTTGACATGGGGGTGTAATTTCCTAAGAAAGGGGCCCATGGCTTTCTGGTTCTTCATCTGCTATGCTGTAGACCTCTATGAAGTCCACAGGTGCAGGGACGGTGGCTGTCAGTAGACCCAAGCTCCTAGCACAGCCCCTGACACAGCAGGATTAAATCTATGCTGCTGAATTCATGACCAGCCAGAATTTAGCATCTGTGGGTAAGGGACAGATCTCTCTATATACTTAATATACCCAAATGTCAGCAAGATTGGAGGTGGAGTTGGAAGTGCTTGACAAAAGTGCAGAAGCAATACACTTTCAGGAATGTAAGACGAGGTTCCGGGCACTAACTGGACTCTGGCATTGGGATTCACAGGGTCATGCCCGGAGGACAAGCAGGATGCCAGGAAAGTGAATAAAATCCGAAGACAGAGATGACACAACAGTGTTAGAAACCTCTTCCTTGCTTGTTTGCAGAAAATGAGACACAGAACTCAGAGAACTAGCTGGTTATAAAACTCAAACTGAACCTATGCTAAAGGAAAAACCAATGAGGTGATCCCTGTGCCCGATCCGATAAAGCTCACCATGGATTTGCTTCAGTCACGTAAGAAATGCATCAAATCATGGAAAATCAAGCCAGGAGCCCTGACATTTTGCTCTGCTCTATGCTGTGGAAAAACCTAGAGAAAATCCCCATGCTATTAAAGTTCTGTCCCAAAGCAAGTACAATAATTGAAAGAGCAAATTTCTCAAGGAATATGGAAGTCTTGACTTTTGAGTTTCCAATCATTCACAGTCCTCTCCCTTCCTGCCTTCTCCCTCTTTGAAGAATAATGCTGGTTTACACAAGAATATTGTGCGCAGGCCCGTTGCAGCCACTCTGGCTTGTTAACTACTCACCTCAAGATGCTGGGCGTGTCCACCTTCCCTTTCCTTTTCTTTGCTATAAACAACAGCAAAAACAAAGGCATACCATAAATTGTCCACGTATTTTGTAATAATGCTTTTTATCCATTGTGATTTCATTTCTTTTAAAACTAGGTTGAATAAACAAGTCTTTACAAAAAAATAAACACAAGTTCTCAACTTAAGCAAAACAAAGTAGTAATCAAAATAAAACATAACCAGAAGTGCAAGCAAATAAGAATTTTTTTTTTGTCTTTAATAGTACCAAACTAGGTGTCCATTCTTTTTCCTTGCAACAAAATACTGTTGGCAAACATACAACCCTTAAATTCTGTGATTTTTAAAAATTCTTATAACTACATTGCATTAAATGATTTTAATAAACCAAACCAAACCAAAACAACAACAACAACAAAACCCACCTCTTTCCTATCCTTTGAAGTTAATGTGAAGAGGAAAATCGTACAATTACCTTTCGTCAGGCACGGGTTCCCCATACTCAGGGTCGGTCCTTGTGTGAGCATGTGCAGTACTGAGGCTTTCCATATGCTGCAAGAGAAATAAGTGCTGACTGATAGGAAACAGGCAACGGCAGATTCCCCTTTCTTTAAATCAGGAAAATCATGTAATATGCAGCTGCAAGCTAATTCTCACTACCACACTTTGGTTCTTGTTAAAAACCAGTAACATTATAAACATGACACACTGCTTACATAAAACTGTACATTGTGCTTTGTCCTACAAAGGAATTGAGAGAAATGGTCATGGTGCCCTCTAACGTCTTTCTTAGCTATTATCCACATTTTCTTGCTAAACATAGCAAAACCCAGAGTCAGGATGGCTTAGAATAAGGACTGAGCAATCTGACCTTGAATTGAATCAGAAATAGATGTAACAGCGACAATTTGTTTTCTTACGTCTTTTAAGTATATATTTCACATATGCTTTGGGGGAACAGGTAACTTACACTTAAGCTGTGAAACATCCTCACAGAGCAATAGTGTTATTTTAGAAATGATTTGCTCTGTGATATTTAATATTTATCTTTCTACTAGCTAAGCTGGACAAAACAGAAACAGGAAACTTCTTTGAATGAGGTTTATTTCAGGCTGACCAAGTGGGCATAATGCTTAACAGCAGGCATGTCTGTCGTGTTTTCATTGTCTCTGTGAACATGGCCAATGCTTTCTAAATATAATCCATGTCGCTGAGAACAGAATACGTGAACCACGCCATGAACAATGAACAAATAAGCAAACAAAAACACGTCTCAACTCACTAGACTCAAAAATACAGCTGCCTTGAAATAGACATCATAGAAGAATATCGAAAGAACATCAAGTGTAATATACTCATCCTGTGCCATCAAGGTAGATAGATATTAAAGCTATGTGTGTTTGGCTTCATATTAAACCATGAAACTGATTAAAGTCACTATAATTCCATGAAATGAGCAATTATTTTAAAATGTTTCCTAAGATGTAACTGGAGTAGAAACTAATCTTCAATTTGGTATGTGAATGGACTATCCTCCCTCTATGTTGGTTTGGCCAACTTGTCTGGAATTCTCAGTTTGACATCCAGGCTCCATTGAACAGAAACCAAGGAAGATGGAATAACATCGAGTCAGGATGGTGGCTCTGGTGCTAGCATGCTCAGGTCAGAGTCCTAGCTCTGCTGTCTGCCAAACTGTAAGCCTCTCCTTGAGCCTCAATCTTCCCATTTTGAAAATGGAGATGGCAGTAACACCTCACACAGGCATAACATGAAAGTTCAACCCAATTTATAGAGCCTTAACCATGCCTGATATATTTAATGAACATCAGTTGCTGATGTTGATGTTGTTGTTATTGTTTCTAAAGCCATGAAATCTCCAAAGAGAATATTTTACTGCTATTTGCCCATAAGTTAAGCAGGTGCCCAAGAAACTTGAAAGACAGGGTTTATTTCCGTCATAGAGGTACTAAATAACAATTTATATGTTTAGATATTTGGGTTTTTTTTTAAAGATTTATTTACTTTTATTGCAAAGTCAGATATACAGAGAGGAAGATCTTCCATTCGATGATTCAATCCCCAAGTGGCTGCGATGGCCAAAGCTAAGCCAATCAGAAGCCAGGAGCCTGGAACCTCTTTCGGGCTTCCCACATGAGTTCAGAGGCTCAAGGCTTTGGGCCATCCTTGACTGCATTCCAGGCCATAAGCAAGGAGCTGGATAGAAAGCAGGGATGCTGGGATTAGAACCAGCGCCAATAGGACCCTGGCATGTTCAAGGCAAGGACTTTAGCTGCTAGGCTACTGTGCTGGGCCCTAGAAAACTGCTATTTATTTTTATTTCTTTGAAAGGCAATGCAACAGAGAGAGACAGAGAGAGAGAGAGAGAGAGAGAGAGAGAGAGAGAGCGCTTTTCAGTCCAATGGTTCAAAACCCAAATTCTTGCAACTGCTGGCGCTGGACTAAGCCAATGCCAGGAGGCAGCAGTCCAGCCCAGGTCTCTCATGTGGCGGCAGAGAGCCAAGCACTTGTGCCTTCACCTGCTGCATCCAGGATACACATCAGCAGGAAGCAGGATCGGAAGCAAAGGTCGGACTTGATGCCGGACACTATAATATGGAATATGGGTATCCCAAGGGGCAGCTTGACCTGCTGCATCCCAATGCCTACCACAGGCTAGATCATTTTTAATGGATCTAAGAAATAATATATAAATATATATATAAGGAACAAATCAAAATAAATATAAATACATAAAATAGAAACATACACACATATATCTAACAATATTCAATTCTATTTCCTCCTCCAAAGTCTGGATGACAAAAGCCCTCCTGAAAATGGCTCCTCTTAAAACCAAAATATAATCGCTCTTATTCGCTGAATGTGATCTTCCTGACCAACAGCCTTCCTCCCTCCGGTACCTTCAATAGATGATCAGAATCTGCAGCCTAAGGTCTTTGTACCAGGCTTTCTTAAGGCTCTGAAACATGAATTCCCAGGGAAAGCATAATCCTTTATATTCAGAACATTTCAAAAAGGTGTCAGTAAAAACGGTACATTTACAATTATGCGCTGATGATCATTTTGGAAGAGACAAACATTCTGAAATTAAAGCTAAGGGATATTCAAAAAAGAGAACAGAAAATAAACCATAATAGATGACAGAACTATAGAGATATTTCTGTCCAAAGATGTTGGATTTTGTTCCTCCTCAGCAGATGGAATCAATATAGCTTTGGAGAATGAGCTGGTTATATCACACAATGGGAATCTTGGCAAAAAGCACTCCTGAGATGTGACCAAGTTTAGCTGACCTCCAGCATTAAAACAAATATTAGCTTTGTCAACTCCTTCCCTTTTTAAAAATCTTTGATTCATGTTTGTAAGTGCTCCCCAGGGAGTAGGCTTTTTATAGATGCAATGCACAAAAAAATGACTTTCAAAGCTCTTCCATATCCCTATTAAAGTCTCTCCACAATCCCACGTGGCGTGCTATAGGATACCGCTGGTCTGTTTTCACCGAAGGCATGCCAGTACACAGTGTTCCTCAGCTAATGGATCTGAGCTGCACCTCGGCCTGCCGGAAACAGGGAACATCTCAGCGGCAACTGCAAATACCTTGCTTGCTGTGGAATGAAATGGAGGAGGGTGGTGAAGACATAGGAATATAGTGATAAGGCTACATATTTCCATGGGTGCAAAATGCTTTCCAACCTTTGTTAAGGGCTTGAGAGGAGATTAGGAAAAAAATAGGTCATCCCTGCTCTTCGTGGAGATGGGGTGGGGGAAATGTAATCTACAGACAAGCCATGCTGAAATGCAGAAAGCTCTCACTGGATGCAGATCATGCTTTTCTGCCTTTCAAACATGCTGCAGTCACTAACAGGACTTGTATTTAGGAGAAAATACTGACTTAATGTCTTTTTAACATTTTTAAGAGTTTAAAGTCCCCAATATAACTCTGTGACAGAAAGGTGGCCTGTGAATGTTTTCATTTTTAAAAAGTTACAGGAATATAATTCTTATGGAAATATTTTACTGCATTACTTTTTAATTACCTTTATAAGTTCAAAATCTTGTAATTTTATAATTTAAGAAGAAAATACAAAAAACCAGATTATGGCTTTAGGTATGACTTCATGAGATTGCTTGTGTACTACAATTTTTAAATTGTTGATTTATTTGAGAGAAAGACAGAGAGGCACAGAACCTCCTCCACCAGTCCACTCATGAGTGTGGCTGAGGAGAGGGGGTTAAGCCAGAGTCTGGGAACTCAGCCAGGGTCCCCTATGCAGTGACAGAAACACCCCCACCCTTGTGCCATCACTGCTGTTCCCATCAGCCAGCTCTAGCAGGCTCTAGCAGGCAGCTGCAGCTGAACCAAGGGACCTCCATGTGGGAAGCAGGCCTTCTAACTAGTATCTTTACTGCCAGGGCCAATACCAATCCAACAATGCAGTGTCTTTCCCTTTTTTAAGTTTTATTTATTTTTATTGGAGATGCAGATTTTTACAAAGAAAAGGAGAGACAGAGTGAGAGATCCTCCAGCTGCTGGTTCACTTCCTAAAGGCTCACAAAGGCCACAGCTAAGCTGGTCCAACGCCAGGAACCAGGAGCTGCTTCTGGGTCTCTCTGCCATGGGTTCAGCGTTCCAGGGATTTAGGCCACCCCACTCTGCTTTCCCAGGCCATAAGTAGGGAGCTGGATAGGAAGTGTAGCAGCCAGGACACCAACTGGCACCCATATAGGATGCTGGCACTGCAGGTGTAGGCTTAGCCTACCATACCACAGCACTGGTGCCAACATGACTTTTAAGGCATAGATTTACCAGGACATCATTTATGTGAATAATTTCTAGATTTTAGAAAGAACCAAATTTTGAAACCCATGCTCCATAATTATAAAAATAACCCCATATCCAAGAGTAAATACTTTTATAAAGCTATGTGTGTTTTGTAATTTTCCCCCACTTCACTCCATGTTAGCACTAAAAGCTTAAGTTTAAATCATATTTGACCAGTAAGCAAAGCACTTGAAAATACTTGGAGAAAAAAAAATGGTCTTCTGAGACTGTTACTTGAGGCTAAGTCTTTATAAGGGAGACACACACACACACACACACACACACACACACACACACACACACACACACACACACACAGACACACACTACCCTTTTCTCAATATACAAACACTCCAATCTGAAGACTGCAGGAATGCTGCTAATCAAAACACATTCTTCACTCTAACCTTGAGCTGTAAGAAACAGAGTATCTGATTAGGTCTTATTAACAAGGAATGACAGATTGAATTCCTTTCTACAGTTTCTGGTTTATTACTTAAAGCTGTCTAAGGAAATCCATAAGCACTGCTGACACCATACATGAAAACTACGGAAGCACTTGGCACATCCACCCAAGCCCCTTCTACGCTTTCTCTATAGCAACACAGCAGCCACAACACATTTCCCAGTTTCTAATCAGACTTCTGTCCCAAAGGGATGTGGGGAGTGATCTCTGTGGCTCCAAAGCCTGGCTAACAAAATTACCCGC